TGATACGGGGGAGGGTGCGTCGAATCATCCGTAGAACAGCGAATGCATTTTGAGCCGACTTTTCATGGTGCATTGACGTATATTTATGATAATGTGTTTTTGGCATCTATCCTTGTGGCGTCTTCTGGTTGATTCCCACTTTAGCCAACAACGGTGTTTACTGGGTCTCCTCCGAATGACACATGAGCGTACATTAGCCCATCCAGGTGAGATCCCAATTCAACGACCATGTTGTCGAACAACCGATATCTGAAGGAACCTAGTTGACACAAACGACTAAAATGCGGCGGGGTCCACGATGCCTGCGATAAACAGAAAACCTATTGTGCGACAACTGAGCCAGGCAATGCTGCCCACATTAGTGCCGCCAGCATGTCCATGACAGAAGTCTTCACTCGATAGTGCTATCCCATTATTCCCCTGAACAATTTACGCAGGAGATCAAATTGTTCGCTTTACAAGAAGGTATACACAACTGAACGCCCGGTATCAATGTCATGAAGAGGATGCAGTCCGTCAAATCTCAACAAACGGGTGTGAAGCCATGCCGTGTCCTGGACGCATACCCAAAATTTCTCTCTCTCTCTGATTCGAAAAAGGGAAACTTCAAAATAGCCTTTCAACATTGGCTGGTGGCCATTCGGGCCTTTACGATCTCCCCACGCGACCAAGGTTTTGTTGAAAATGGTTCAAACCTACACAAGGGCAACTGTGGGCGCAGGAATCATGCTTTTAACGCATTTTAAATCACTTTGAGAGAGTACGTAGCCAGTAAATTCGTAGTTTTCGTCAGCATAAACTCCAAATAGGGATATAGTCTGCTACTTTTATATGAAAAAGCTTTCCACCGTTGTAGCAGACGTCCCTGTGGACGAGGCCAAGGCCGTGGAATTCGTCGCACCTAGTAAGTTTATCGTCGCCGGTCATTTTGGAGAGGTACTTACTATCAAGGATGTGCACAATTATTGCGTCAAATGCCGACCTCGTTGTTTAATAGACCAATGGTTACCTTTTATTTCGTTTCTCGGATGGCAGATCATCCACCATGGCCGAGCTTCAATGTGTGTTCGCGTATTTTTAGTTGAATCAAAGAGTAACAATTTTAGCCACCTTTTCCTTTCTCGAGAGCAGCAGATCGAACTTCTTCCTCGTTTCCCTGAAGCAGTAAGCGTTCATGCTATGCACAGGACCAACCGTCCTGGGTAAATAATTTTAGAACATCTGAATTTCACTGTTAAGGTAAAAGCTATGCAAATTCCTTGTGATGGCATGGGCATCGGTCGACCCGTAATGTCCACATTCGTTGAAAGCGTGCATTTTGTGCATTTGCGCAAGCTGTTGTGCTTATTCAAGGATACGATGGGTGGACAGTATTAAGTCAAAACGTTTGTCATGGACAAGATGACTTCGCAGCTGCGGGCTGCCAAAGCTGTGTTCAGCTGTGATATAATGCTGTGCTGTTTTCACGCGCGCCAAGCCATTCGGAAGCGCGCACATCTCATTGCTCTGCTGTAAATTTTGCAGGCGATTTCTAGCCGCAGACGGCACGCATTTCGCCCCATGGCCCGCTCTGATATACAGCAGAGTAGTTGACTGTGCATCGCACTTTAATCGCGTAAGTTTCGCCAAGATTCGCAGATCCTGCGGAGAACCCATTCCAGATTTGTCTGCTATTTGACTGCCAACTGGCTGTACCTCACTCGATAGTAGGCCATTCATGCACACTATGGGTTGGCACATTTGGGAGTGTGACCGATAACCGCCTGGAGAACAACAACGGGCGTTCAAAGAGGCACGCGCATCACGCCGACAGCCTGAAGCACGCCATCCAGGTCTCTCAGCACAGAGAATGGCTCCTGCGCATATATTAGATGCACACCATTTGCTTCTGTGGCCGCCGAGCAATGTGTAAGGGAGACGGCTACGTTTCGCGTGTGGATTCCCGGATGGTGACGTGCGCCGCCAGACAAGTTCCCAGTCACGTTGGAACGCTTTCAGAGGAATACATCGTGTGTTTAAGGTACGGTATAATGTTGCCTGTGTAATCATGGTCAGGAAACTTTGTGCCCGGAGAGGTCTTAACTTCAAAGCTTTGGATACATTTCATTGTCTGGGGCATTATTTAGGGAACGTTTAAAGTAAAGAAAAATTGTGACAATGGACCATCTGCGATGCCATTCGTCGGCTGAAATTTTTGCAAAAATACGCATGTCGCAAGTCAGCAGGTGGGTGGGTGCTCATAGGTTATTCTTTTTGTGGCAATTCTACAAGGAGAACAGCACCATGGTTTGCAAATCTCTGGATAACTACATTCAAAACCCTATGATGATAAGAGATGAAAGTGTCAATGAAGCTGCACTTGGCGCCCGCCTATTGCAGAGCTTCGGTGGCAGACCACTTCAGGCAGACCACTTGGAAAGAAACTGACACTTCAAAATGGTTGGAAATGGTAAACTGCTATGTATCCTGGAATATTCAGCCGGATGTAGCTAGGTTCAACAGAAGTGCATGCTAGAAGTTGGACTCCACCAACAAATATCATTACAAGAATCTGCCTAAGACTGCAGTCCACCATTGTGTGATTTTCGCAAATGCCAAGCGACACTTCAGGGCGACGGAGGTTTTGCGCGCTCAGTTGGAAAACTACATTCTATGATTCAGGCTATCACAGAATTTTTCTCGATGGCACACGACCAACGAATGAAGAGGTCGAATGCTTACGAGCTCCGGGCAAATTAACAACTCTTGCTGTTTGACGGAGACAAACTTGCATCAGTCCTCGATTAAGCATCTGTTAGTTTTACTGAGAAAGCTATTTCAGTGTCCGAAAAACTAGAACGCCTAGGTAATGAGGCAAATAATTTTGCTTAGTTCCAACTAAAACAGACTACGTGCTACATTTTATCAGGACACAATTCATACAACGCTATAAACTAAGCTCCGCTGGATACCACCTTAATTCGTCTGAAGTTTCTTTAATGCAGCCTTGGATACGCAAAGTTCACGTAAGTTGCTCCATTTCCTTCAACCAACCCATCTAACTCAAAACAGTGAGCACAATTTTATGTGCGCTGAATACGGGTAGAGCAGACCGTGGCATCCACCATTGCATTAAGGTTATCAAAAGTGGGGTTATGGAGCTCATAGTGATCCAAACACGGGCCGAAGGCCGAGTTCCGATTTCACAACCTTGTCCTGGGGTTACTTTGAACGTTTACGCACCTAGAAATAGTGGTCCTGACACCAGCTTAATTTTTTTGGTATTTTTACACAAGTGTATGTGACATGGCGGTAACCCCACAATTGAAATCTTGGAGAATCCATGGATAGCAGGCGAGCTGGCATTTAACTACGATAGTTGAATAACGGGAACATAATGCAAGTGGTCGAACAGTAGCTTGCTGACTGGTTAATCAGTGAAAAAGCATTTATAGATTCTGCCTCAATCGACTTCGGTTTCCAAGCTGGTTCCTCCTAACAAATTTTATAGGGTCCATAATGGTTGTGAAACACCAGAGCAAATATACGCATGTAGCAGAAAAAAGCCCTCGTGAGCCACAGTTAGTGACCAGAATCACGCTGGGTTTGAAGTGCTAGAAGAGGAATTTTCAAGGCTGTGTTCTCCGAATTAACGGATGCCGACTAGGGCGCATCAAACAATAAAACATGCTGGTTATCAAACGCTCCATGAAACCATAGGCTCCCTTTCAGGCCATCAGGAAGAAGCTGCGACAGCCTACGGAAAGCCTAAGAAATTGGCTACAATGACGGATAAGTTTTTCAAATGCTCCACAGCGCGTCGGATCCGCACAAATTTAGGTTTGAGGAGTGCTGAAATTTATTGCAATTATTATTGATTATTACTATTATTTATTATTATTATTGATTTTACTGGACGGCGCAACAAGTGTTTGCAGGCGGTACCGCTGCTGTCGCACATGAACGCAGATTTCGTTGCTGAAAATGTATGACGCTTGAGCATTAGTACCCCACACCATGAGTTGCCGGCCCTCCTAACATTTGCTTGAGCGTTGCAGCTAGACGGGAATCATCGTTTCACACACCACGGGAAGAATGTTCAGCTTTGAGCTGTCAAAAACCAGTCCAGTATTTTGCGGCTTCTTCTACACAGACTGGCCATCTGGCCCCAACCGTCTCATCGCAAGGGACGCTTGCTACACGGGTGCCTCGCTTGCTCGCTGAACATTTTCGCCTTCCAACGCAATGCCAAAACACTTGGTCACCCAGGTAAGGTTTAACAGCTATATAGACGTAACTTCTTCATAACAACACTAGCATTACGAAGATGGCTTTTGGTGTCGACTGTATCCACCAAACGTATCCTCTCCCACGAGCAAAGTATCGGGCGTCTTCACCCTAAACTTGCCCTAAAATAATGTTATTGATCTTTGACTTTGCGTAATTATTCGCCCATATGGAGATGTAAGGAAAGACGTTGAAATCAGAATCACTGACCACATCAGCCCGTAGGAACGTACTTGCTCATCACACCATTCTCAGTAATATTATATGCTCCACTTATCCACTTATCCACCTAAATGTGTCATAATTTTCATCCCTTTATAGCTATGTGGCTCTTGGCCCATATAAGCCTACTTTGTTTACAGTATATAACGTATCCTAATATGCCAACCATAATCAATATTGATGCATGCAGAGGCGACGACTACCGATCTGATTCTACGATCTTCGGGTTTATTAGTCGTGTATATCTGCTGAAACTAGTTAATGCACAGGTGATAGGACAGGTTGGTAAATGCAGAAGAAAGATTTCACTCCAACTAAGATTTATGGTTAAAATCCACCGGGTTTGGGTCATGGAACACTGAAAATGTACTCTTACCGTATTTACGATAGACAATGGCCACAAGGACTTGTGAATTGAACTATAGTCGCTGTTTTAACAGGTCAAAGTATGTAAATAAACGGTTCACCTTATTTGTTGTGATTTTGAATAGGGAGCTCGGAGTTACACAAAGATGAGACCGGATGATAACTATAATACGCTGCAGCGAATTAAAGAATGGAATGCCACAAGACTGGACTTATTCAAAATTTCCGAGCCAAACAGAGTGAGTCCTTTTGGTAGTGTACTTTCTGTGTTTTTTCGTTCGATTAAAGCTAGTGCGAAACTCATGCAAGGTGAAAACCATTAGAAGACTGTAGAACGGATCACTACATTCCGAACAAGCAAAAAATGGGAACATATAACATTGCGAGCACATACATTTTTAACGTGTAGTTTGACAGTCTTCCTTGCTTGCTAGAAAAAAAGTGATAATTGCAGTAAATTTGGAGGTGTGGTGCAACATCCGGCATATAGGGATTGGGACCTCAGCCAGAATATCTAGGAAATGACAGGAGTGTGTGTGGTGGAGGTCAAGACCTGATCTAGTTAGGGTTGATCAATCGACCGGAATGAATTTTGACACTTATAATTGTCATAGGCGTAAAATGTATTTCCTGAATAGTCAGCTGACACGGAGAGGAATTAACGTTCACGAACTAGGTGGCACCAATATTAACCATAGCTCTAATTTGGCGTCCGAATTCTACCAGATATTGTGAGTCTATCGATGCTGCGCGCACTTTTAACCGTTGCAGCCGTGCGCAGACTTCTGGTTCCTCATGGAGTACGAAACATTGACCCGTGTATCATTTATGAAGGGCGGGAACTGG